TGTCTCATTCTCCTTGGGCTGCTAAAAAGATTAAACTTATATGTAATCATCAGTATCGTAGTATATGTAAGAGACCAACTGATGAAGCTAAATTTTTTTAAAAACCTTCAACATCTAGAAGTAAGTCATCACACTCTTACTAAAGCATGTGCCTTACTACAGAGTAAAGGAAGTAATGACTTACTAGAAGAGCATTATAAAGATAATGACTTACTAGGAAAGCATTATAAAGATAGCTAAGGTTCTTTTCCAGCAGGTATAGTTTTAAAGGTTGTTTTGAACATGGTGAGAGGGTTAAAGTATCAACACCAAGGGAAAAAAAAACTGCTTTATGGAGACACACAATTTTCTTTTCTTTTTTTCTTTTTTTTTTTATTTTTTTTTTTTTTTTCGTTTTTCTCCGGTACCAGGAACTGAACTCATGACCTTGCGCTTGCCAGGCAGGCGCTTTGCCGCTGAGCTAAATCCCCAGCCCCTGAGACACACAATTTTCAAATGTTATAAGTAAAGGTGATTTTGAAGCAATTAAAATCTGTGACGTAGGAGTTTCTCTACCATTGTATGAAAATATGACTGTGACTGATCCCAAAATCTGTTACATTGGTGCTGAGCTGTGGAACCCTAGGCAGCTTGGGTAGAAAATGGCGTTATCAACAAGGGAGACATATTTGCCTTTGGCCTTACTCTATGGGAAATGATGACTTTATTCCACATGTTAATCTTAACCTTACAAATGATGATGGCAATAAAAGTTAAACTTCGGATGAAAGTGACTTTGATGATGAAGCATACTATGCACCTTTGGGAACTAGGGCAACTGTTAATATGAACAAATTGGATGAATCATACAGAAAATAATTGAATTTTTCTCTGAATGTAGTAGTGAAAAATCTGTTTGGAACTAGGTGGTCAGTAATCATATTCTTGATAACCTCAGCGTGGCTTGTGTACCTAAATGTTCTATTTTCTTGGATGTTTATGTACCTGTAGTTACTATGATGACCTATACTTATTATTCTCTGGAAGTGACCTATTTTAGGTCCATAGTGCCCTGTTTATGAATAGCTTCCTAACACAAGGGCATCTCTTGTGTTCTTACAGTGAGAAGCACTTGATATTCTACATACTGGATTTTCTATGAAGTTCAAAAAAGTAGTGGTGCAGGTAGTTAGATGTTCCTTCCACAGACTTAAAACACTATCAATAAAATGCTGTAAACAGTTCTAACATTAATTGACTTGAGTAACCCTTCCATTAATGATATTTCCTGTATATTCTCTATTTTTGTGAGTCTACTAAAATTAGCACTTTATATACTAAAAAGTAAATCTCTGCTTATAATTATAAAATGTCAAAACTTTTACTGGCATTTCTTGGCTGATATACTTATTAAATAGCCACAGGACCTGAAAATATAACTCAAAACAGTAGTTCCTTGGGTATTTCTGGACTCTTTGGTTGCAGCTTGTCCTACTGTCTTGGATTGATGTTTAATTTATTAGGTGTATTTCCTGTATTAAGATTCATTTTATTTAATAATATGTACCTTAAGTATTTAAAAGTGTGGTGTAAAAATAATAGAACTCGAATAGAACAATACAGAATAAAGGATAGCTTTGGTACCAAAAAATAAAATTATAAATACAATGTATATTCCTTACAGAACATTTATGAAATGGAGACTTAAGTAAATATACCAAAATTCAAAACATTGGTTATTTCTGGAAAATGATATTTTGATTTTCTTCCATCCAACTACTAACCAGGCCCGACCCTGATTAGCTTCCGAGATCAGATGAGATCAGGCGTGTTAAGGATGGTATGGCCATAGACTGATATTTTGATTTTCTTCATACTGTTGTTGTACAAATAAGATTTTCAGAATAATATATTTATCTTTGTCCTACTTAAATCAACTTTAGTAAAATTTCATTTTTGTGTTTATATATAAATATATATAGTGTGTATCTGTATGTCAGTGTATTAATATATTTTAATGCATATATCTATAAGCATACATATGTAGACAGATATCTTGGAAGTTCTTTAAAATGTTAATGATTATATCTCTGGATGCTGAGGCTTTTTGCACCATTTTATTTTTTGACATTCAGAATGTAATGTTTTATAATCAAAATAAAGCCAATTTTTATTTTAAGAAGATATTGAAAATGTTATATAATGCGTGTAAATTTTTGTCTTTAAAACAGCAATATTGTCAACATTTTCCCATGAAATTACTTTTTTTTTTTTTTTTTTTGGTTTTTCTCCGGTACAGGGAACCGAACTCATGACCTTGCGCTTGCCAGGCAGGCGCTTTGCCGCTGAGCTAAATCCCCAGCCCCGAAATTACTTTTTTGAACAACATCTTTAGTGCTTACATTATATTTCATCATATAAATTTGTTACAAATGATTTGATCTTTCCTTCCCTTTTCTGGACATCTAGGTTCTTTTCAGTCAAGTAATACTTTAAACACATGAAAGATAATGGTCCTTTTACGTACTCAAATGGGGTAATAAAAATAATCACTTTCCAGTTAATATTTAGATACATTTCTTTATTTAGTATTCACTCTTTAATTATCGTAAAGTGAAGGATGGACTAGAATACACAATGTGATTAAATTAAAGCATACATAATCATATTTTGCTTTCACTTTTAATATATATCAAGCCTCTACTTAATGAGATATCATTTATCCAGTTTACAGATAATTTTCTCTAGGAACTCTTCCAGTTCCTGAGTATGGGCATACTTTTTCTTTCTTTCTTTCTTTTTTGTATTTCCATAGAGGGTTGGTCAAGGGCAGGAATAGACTGACATGATATTATGTAAATTTTCCTCTCTTATCTCTGAAGTCCAGTCAATTCTGGGAAAATCCTGAACTGAAGTGGACTAGGGGGATGTTGTTTCAATAATTCAGTTTGGTTTATAAATAGTCTCAAAGGCTGTTGAGAGGCAGACAACTGAATATGACTTCTTTCTTTGAACACATGCACATCTTCAATAAGAGTGCCTTAGGAACTCTGAAAACAAATTAAATTATGATCCATAAGCTATTAGCTAATATAGGAAGCTGACATATACAGAGATTTTTTTCTAAATCTTAATCCAACTGAACAATAGAATTTAAACTGCAATATTGAAGTCAATTTATTTTGTTATTATTTCATTAAACATGTAAAATTTGTAATTTAGAGGAATAAGTAATATATATGTATGTGTTTTACCAACTTGCTGACTTTTAGAGGAGGACATATTAGGAATTGAATCCAGGGCCTTTGCACTGAGCTATGCCCTTAATCTCTTTTGCCAAATTCTGAGAAAGGGTTTCAGTAAGTTTGCCTAGGCTGGATTCAAACTTGCAATCCTCCTGCCTCAGCTTCCCAGAGATCTGTCATGGCAGCAATGCACCCCTATGCCTGACTTGCCTATTTTTTTTTTTTTTTTTTTTAGAAATAAAAGGAAAATACTAACAGATCGACAACGTTTTACAAAATAGCAAAGGATCAGTACAGACATTACAGAGTTACAAACAGAGTGGTAGGGAATTAACAATGCTTATTGTATTACATATTGATATCTTCAATGTAGTTTCTCTATCTTCAACTATATTGATATCTTCAATGTAGTTTCTCATGAAAACACATATAGACATACAAAGCTGACTTGCCTATTTTTAAAGTAACTTTTTTAGTCAAAGTAGATTTATTTTAGAAAATTTAGAAAATAAAAATAACCAAAAAGCAAAAATCCAAAATTTAAAAAAACGTTTATATTATCATCCATTGATAACCATTGTTAGCAGTTTGTAAAATATTCTTTTGTGTATGTGGGTATTTTGTTTTTTCCAGCGTTGGAGATGGAACACAGGGCCTTGAGCATGTTAGGCTGGTGTTCTACCACTGAGCTACATCTCCAGGTTGACATCTTTACTATTCATAAAATGATATATTTTATACCAGTTGAAAGTTTGCTTTTTTCACTGAAAATATATCATAAATGTTTCCATTTTATGAAATATTCTTCCAAAGCTTCATTTTATGGTTGTATAACATTCATTTGCATAGGTTTAGTCAATATCTTAGTATTTAGGTCATTTTCAGTTTTTTCACCAACAGTATTGTGTAGTTTTATAAACTATTAGAACATAATATTTAAAAAATATTAAATATGATTATTTATACAATAGTTAATAGCTAAAGTTTTACACTAATACACTTATTCCCTAAGAAATTTCTCAGTCCAACATAAAACTTTAGGACTTTAAATATATATTGTTAGAAATGTTAAGCAATTTAAATATGCACCAAAAGTGTGTGGTTGCTTGTTCATCAGAACTTTGGGGGGCTGGGGATTTAGCTCAGCAGCACAGCACCTGCGAGGTCGTGAGTTCGATTCCTGGTACTGGAAAAAAAAAAGCTTTTGTTAACTTGTTAAGATTGGAGATTAACATTTTTTTAAAAAATCTCTGCCAATTTGACATGATTATATCTCATTACTCTTTTAATTTACATTTTGGACAGTTTTCTAAACCTTAATTTGCTAATTCTTTTAATTACTTCCTCATATCTTTATCCAATTTTTTTCTAATGAAGATTTTGTGTTTTAATAATTTATAGGAGCTCATTATGTGCTAATAATAGCTCTTTGTTGTCTGAACTGAAAATATTTTCCCCATTTTTATTTAACCTTTTAATTATGTTGTCTTTATTTTTAATTTATGGGGTTATTCACATGGATTTTCTTTTTTGTGGTCAATCCATTGCATTTTTCTTCATAGCTTCTGTTTTGGCATTTTATATATATATATACACATATTCAGTTTAGATATATATATAATCTCCCAGCCTACACGTTTTGATAATAAGTTTTGGCTTTACATTTTCACAAGTCTTTCAGATTTTTAGTTCCTGATATACTGTTGTTGAACTGTTGTTTTACTTAAATTTCACTTTTTCTGTAAATAACTACCTTTTTGTCTTCTTTATTTTTAGAATGGTCTCAGCTTTTGCATTGTGAATGAACAAACGTTTGCCCAAAATGTACTTCCAAAATACTTCAAACATAACAATATGGCCAGCTTCACACGACAGCTCAATATCTGTGAGTTTTACTTATTTCTACAAATATTATTAGAATTTAGTGGGCTATCACAGAAAAAAATTACTCCTTTCATTTTAAACAAATGAATGTTACTTTGAGTTCAGTGAGGGTTCTTATTACTTTAGCTTGCACTGGGTGTGGTGGCACATGCCTGTAACGTTGGCACTTCTAGGACACAGAGCTGGGAGGATTGAAAGTTCAAGCCCTACCTTGGCAATTAAAAGACATGATATATTAATTTTTTAAAAACAATTAAGAAGAGCCTACAATATAACATGATGTGTAGGCCCTCAGTTCAAACTTCAGTACTCAAAATATATCTGCTTAGTTTGGTTTATTGATTGGGATTCCAAATACAAAAATGCCCTTTCTGACAAGATTAGTTTTAATTCTTTTGAGTTACAGAATCTTAGCCCTGAATAGTTGCTAAGAATTTGTCTATTGTAATGCTATTGTGTTAGATGTAAGGAATGGAACCTAATGAGACTAAGTATACTTGATCAAGGTCATAGTGAACAAGTCAAGTCTGGACTCCATTACTTTGATAAAACAGATTTCTCTCTCTAGTCTTTGGAAATCATTTCTCTGTAGATGCATGCAAGTTTCTGGATTCTCTGTTCCATTGTGTTGGTCTGTGTGTTTATTTTTTATTCCAATACTATGCTGTTTTGGTTAATATAGCTTTGTAGTATATTTTGAAGTTTGGAACATGCCTTTACTTTGTTCTTTTTGCTCAAGACGGATTTGGCTATTTTTATATACCTTAATTTTCTTAAGTTCTTATATAGGAAGCATTAGTGACCTCCTCTTTTTCCTTGTGCGCTCCTTTTCACTCTCTTACTGTCCCAGAGTAGCCTTTTAGCTGATAGTCTAACCTTTCCTCCATTCTAATAAATTATGCACATTGCTTGCTCTAATAATTCATGCATGTTACTGTCTTATTTACCTTTTCAAAATACAATTTTGATTGTGTCACTCTTTTTTATAAAAAAAATCTCACTTAGTTCCCACCACAGTACATAAAGGTTAACTGCTCAGTCTGGTATTCACATTCTTCTGCAGTTCAACCTTATTCTGTTTTGTGTGCTTTCTTGCCCTATCTCTTTTCTCATTCATTGTGTGTGTGTGTGTGTGTGTGTGTGTGTGTGTGTGTGTGTATGCACACATATTTTTCCACAGGTAATTAGTAATTGTCTTTTTTGTTGTTGTTTTTTTCCAGTACCAGGAATTGAACTCACAACCTTGCGCTTGCCAGGCAGGTGCTGTGCCGCTGAGCTAAATCCCCAGCCCCAGTAATTCTCTTTACATGCATTATATCAATGTTTGTCATGGTTTATATCTAGGTGTCCCCCCAAAGCAACATGTACTCACAGGTGAGGCTTTTAGGAGGTGATTGTATCATGGGAGTGTGATACACATCAGTGGATTAGTTCACTGTTGAGTTTATAGCTAAATGTAAATTGGAAGATGGAGACAGGTCAGAGGAGATGGGTCATTTGGGGAGAGGCCTGGAAAGGAGTAGCTCCATCCTTCTCTCTTCCCTTGATCCCTTTCTCTGCTTCACCACCATGCACACAAGTAAGCTTCCTCTACCATGATGCCCTGCCATGGAGCCAGACTATTATGTACTGTAACCTCTGCAAACTCTGAGCCAAAATAAACCTTTCACCCTTCCATTTGTACTCACAAAGTGTCAGGCATTGTGTCTCAGTGATAAGAAAGTAACTAAGATGGTTGTTCAAATCAACTACAGTGCAGAACACATTCTTAAAAGATATCCAATTTGTTACAAGCCACTATTGGGTAAAATCGAATGGGTTTTTAACCTGTGGATTTCACAGAAATGTTGAATTACAGTATTATAAACGTGTCTAAGGTACTACTATAGCTTTAATACTTAATTATCACCAACCAGTAATAAATATATTGCAGACCAGCATCAGTCTATAAGTCACATTTTATGTAGCATTGCCATAGACTTTCCTGTATCTTTGTGTTTCTTTGTGCTATTTTCTTTGGGTGAAATGCTCTTCCTCCCCAACTCCATTCTTAGTATCTGTATATTAGAGTTCTGTTTATTTTCAAGTTCAGCTCCTTCAAGAAATGTCACATTCTTATATGTCAAAATTAATGTCATTTTCCCAATATGCCCATAGTACTTCCTTTATAAGACAACCACAGTGCTTATCACAGTGTGATTTTTTATTGATATACAATTTACCCATTTAAAGTGGCTAATTTCATGGCTTTTGGTACATTTATGAAGATATGCTAGCATAACCACAATCTAATTTTAGAATATTTCTGTCTCATCAGAAAGAAACCTCTTGCTGATTAGTAGACATTCCCCATTTTGCCAATCTCAGACAGCTTTACTTTTCTATTGTTATTTGTGAACATACATATAGACACACACACACATATATCTTTTAAAATTTATGAGTTTTTAGAAGAAAGATATTTGGGAAATGGCTCTTGTTTTGGATTCTTTGGATGAAGAATCCAAAAAGAGTGCCGTGTTTTATGATTACTATCACCATGTCCTAATGGTTGAATATTTGTCCATTGTACAGAAAGTTATAGACCTATTGTCTGTTGCACACAAGTTTTAGAAACCTCTGTTATAAATGTCTTTGATGAACAGCAGCATTTTTTCCTCACAATTTTGTTTCCCTGAGAACTTAAAGATATTAAGGAAAATTACATGTGGTGATTATCATCCACATTCAAATGACCAAACCTTGTTTTGAATTTTTATTTTAATTTTTCTGTGTTCAACACAGGGACTTCAGGGGGTTTAAAGTAACACACTGGATTTATCAAATGTTTTGATAGCCACTGTCTTCCCATGTAATTCTGTAGGAGTGTTTTTATTCTTGTGAAATATATGCTTTCCACAAAGATAAGTCTAAGTTTTCTGATTCTTTGATTGTTTGAAACAGGGTCTCACTACGTAGTTCATGTTGACCTTGAACTTACTATGTAGCCCAGACGGGCCTCTAACTTGCAGCAACCTTCCTGCCTCAGCCTCCCAAGTGCTGGGATTACAAGTGTGGCCAACACAGCTGGCCTTATTTTCCTATTTTGTGAGTTTTGTTCTAAAGATATTTGATATATCGCCGTCCACTCTGGACGTAGTTCATTATTCCTTCCTATATGATTCCAACATATTGTTTTATAGTAGTAGTGAATGTATTTGCCTTCTCTGCTGTACTGTTAGCCTCTTGCAAGCAGGAATGTCATCTTACTGACTTTTATAGACTCCACAAAGCTTAGCCAATAATTATCCAACAGGAAACTAAGTGTTCAATAAATGTTTGTTAAATGGATGAATGATAAGGAAATTCAGAGTTGTAGAGTAGATAGCATGGGGTACATCAGCTTGCTTGTGAATATATTCCAAATACAAAGGAATTATACCTTGTTTTTTTATAAAACATGGGTTTTCATTCTGGGGATATAGCTCAGTGGCATAAGCACTTGCCTGGTAAGCCTGAGGTCATGAGTTTGATTCCCAGTACCAAAAAAACAAAACAAAATTTTTTAAAAAAAAGAGTCTTCAATAGGAAAAATTTTAAGAAATAAAAATTAATTTTTACTCTATCTGCTCTCACAGAAGTTGTGGGAATAGGAAAAGAAAGTTAAACATCTCATTGCTTGAGGGAGCGATAATGCTTCATAAAGTAATTCCTGGAGGGAATATTTCACCTTTAGTCTGCTAATTTTTTTTTTAGGATTTTTGCATCTGTGCTCATTCAGGAGGTTGGTCTATAGTTTTCTTTTTTAATTGGGTCTTTATCTGGTTTGGAGATCAGGGTGACACTGACTTCTATAGATGAACTTGGGAGCACTCCATCCCTTTCAATTATTTTGAAGAGCTTGGGGAATATTTATGATATAATATAGAATATTGCCAATGAAAAGACCTGAAGACTCCATTTCCTGGGCTTAAAGAGAAATAATGCTGGCCCAGTGTGTGTTTTCATTGATATAATATACTTAGAGTTTGTAGAATTCAACAATGAATCTGTCAGTTCCTGGGCTCTTTTTAACTGGCAGGTTCTTATTACAGTGTCAATTTCATTGTTTGTTATTGGGTCATTAAGCATATTTGTTTTCTTGGGTTAATTTTAATAGGTTCAATGTGTCTAGGAATCTGTCCCATGCTTCAAAATTTGTTGATTTGTTGTAATATAATGTTTTGAAGTATTTACTACCTTCCAGATTTCAACAGTATCTGTTGTGATTTGACCTTTTTAATTTCTAGTTGCATTGATGTGAGTCTTTTCTTTCTTTCCCTTGGAGTGTCTGGATAAGGACTTATCTATTTTATTTATTCTTTCAATAAACTAATTAAATTTTATTTATTTGAATGATTTATTTCACTGTCCTTTTGCCTCAATTTCATTGATTTCTGCTCTCACCTTCATAATTTCCCTCCTTAATTTCAGTTTGAGGTTAGTTTGTGTTTGTTTCTCAAGTATCTTAAGATTTCTCATGGGGTTATTTGCTTTTTTCTTTTTCTTTTCTTTTTTTTCCATTAGCAGATTCATTCATTTACTTTATAAACCCTTATGAAGTTAATTATCATATCACAGATGAACAGCGGGACTAACAGGTTATTTATTTGGGCTTGCTCTCTTTTCCTAATGTGAACATTAATTGTGAGAAATATTCCTCTCAGAACTGCTTTCATGGTGTCCCAGAGGTTTCACTGAGTTGTATAGTTGTCAATTAATGTCCAGAAATTTTTTGAGTTTTTATTTCATTTCTTCTGTGATCCATATTTGTTTAGGAGTATGTTGTTATTATTCTAGGACCTTTTGCCTTTTCTGAAATTTCTTCTTTCATTGATTTTTATTTTCATTGCATATTGGTTTGATAGTGTTCATGGGGTATTTTAAATTATTTATATTTACTTAAACTGGTTTTGTGGACAAGTATGTGATCTATTTTGGGAAAAAGTACCATGTGCTGCTGAAAAGAATGTGGAATACTCT